GCCAAATTTCTGCTAATGGATGTGGAGGAGAAACGCAGGCTTTAGTGTAAAAACCTCGGAGGTGCTGGGTTGTCTGCCGCACACACAAGGTTTAGACTGCACAACCACTGACAGCTTTTGGCACCTTAATGTGGTTTTGTAGAAACTCTTGTGTGAGTCGCAACCGCAAGAAGTAAACGGAACAAGTCGGCACTGGAATGGGTACGGTACTGCTGTTGGTTAAACGTGCTGAAATCTGAAATCGTTTCACCAGTCTGTTCATTTTAACAAGCCACCTAAGCAAGAGCTGAGTTACAGACAGTTGAGACAGCTACAGAACTTTGAAACCTTCTGATGGATCATCTAAAATCAGAGCAGAGTTTAATTAATTGATTTTTGTCTCAGAAACGTAAGGGACAATCAGCTGAATGTCACAATTTACCACTGCTACTTTGATATCTTTTCTTTCATGTTGGGAAATACATTGGATGATAAAGTCTGAAATCACTTCTGGCTCATACTGCTTTCATTTGCTCCCATAATGGTGGAACTCATCATCCCCAAAGATTTTTTTTCCTTCAAACTTGGGTAGGGCCTATTACTCAAGTAAGACAGACTTTAAGAGTACTGTTAGCTGTTTGCTACCAGCGAAAGGATACGATGACGTATGTTATGTGCAGTCATAGCAGAAGCAACCGCCTGTTTAAAACTGAAGGAGGAGGTGCATTGTGCTGCTTATCCTGCTTGACCATCAAGGTTTTCCGATGTGATGCAGCTATTGAATGAGTGGTGATGGAACACTCTTCGATCTAATTCATCGATAGCTGAAAAAGTAGAGTGAAAAACTTAAAAAGCCTCCAGGGGGACAGGGGCGGGGGGGGAGATCTTTTTAAACACGAGCAAAATGTTATAGATACGTGTATAATACATAAAAGTTACTCTGTTTCCTCTTTCCTCTGTCCGTAACATTCAAATGGGCAAGAAGTGGTTTCACCCTGTTGAATGTCAAGAGAGCTCTTTCAGCTTGGCTTCACCATCAAGAATACAGAAAACCCGTATGGTTTATAGCTATTTAGGAGAGAATATTTTGGAGTTATTTGTCAGTCATCTATTTTCAGGACCCAGTTACGTTCATCAAAGTTCTGTTAATGACCTGTAGATATTTTTATCCGCCCCCCCCCGCCCCGCTTTTGTGATTGATTTATTATTTGCAGAGGCTGGAGTAGTGGTGGGAGAAAGGGTGTTATTTAGAAACTAACTATAGAAGAAGAATGTATTTTCTCTTACTAAATCAAACTAGACAGTGCTGCCAATAGCCCTTTTCCAACTGAGGTAGGTAAGGAGATTTAAAGACGAAATCTGCCTTGATGCAAAGGTCATCCTCAAATTATGGAATTTGAAACTAAACCCATTCCATCTTTCTTTTAAGGTTCAGTTTTCTATTCTGCATTCCCACCTGTAAACTAAATTAATTTTTCCAAATGTTTAAAGTTTGGTTTTTGAAGATGGTCTGCTTCATTTACAGCAGAAGCGTACAGGTAGTCTGCGTGCCTAAAACACTTTTCTCATAAGAGGCTCCTCACGTAGACTGTGTGTAGACACATGGCGACTCCTGGGCACCGTAACCTGTGCTAGAGAACAGAGGCATGTGAAATAGATACCTTTGTTCTACACACCTTTAGGTGATTTTTAAAAAATATCTCTATCTATATATTTTTTAAAACAGATATATTTTGTAAGTTAATGCAAACAAATACTGATGAGTACAGTTCCTTAGAACAGAAGTTAGTCTTATAATGACCCGACAGCTCAGCAGTCGTACACGTGGATCCTGTTGTTCCAGAGCCCTGATACTACATTTGTTGCACTAGAAGAAATCGGTAGTTTAGCAGGATGCATATATGAGTGTGTTTTGTTGGTATGGGCTTTGTTTATTTGTGGGTTTTTTTTAAAGCAATTTTTGAACGTACACTATTTAGAACGTGTTTTTCCTATTGTGAATGCCATAAATCAAAGCCAGATTTGTTGAAAAGCTACTAACTTTTTGAAATGGTTATAAAAGATGGCAGGGAAGGTAGATTAATATTTGAAACAAGTCACCAAGGTCATGCTTTTTCAAGTCAGTTCACTAGTGATACTACTACCAGGTTAAGATATATTCAAAGGAAAGGAGGACTCACTTAGGAGCATGTGTTAGGATAGGTAATATAACATCAGACTTACCCAATTTGAAAGTTTTGTGGTTGTAATTCATGTTTTAAAGATACTGAAGCAACATGTTACTAGGAAAGTGTGAGTAGAAAGAAGAAACAGGACTTTGAAAAGATGAATGTCCCAGCGGAAGTGTTGAAGCATCTAATCTTGAATCACTTAAAATTTGCCTTGACAGAGCCCTAGAATAAAAATAAAATAAAAAATTACTTTTTAAACTTATGATGACAGAGTGTGGGTTCCATCTCCCAAAATCTCGGGTTTTTTGCGTATTAGCTTCTTGCTTAATTTCTTGTTGCAGTGTTCATACAGAAGTGAGACCGATCCATCGGTAGTTAGGAAAATTCTTTTGTGTTGTTGTTGAACTTAGCCCATATAGTCGTTTGCGAAGAAAGCACAGATGTAAAATCTTTGGTCGTGCTGCTGCTTTGTAAGGAAGAAGAGTCACTTCTCTGTTTCCAGCTGTGTCAGAAAACAGCCAGCAAGCTTCCCAAGAAATAAAGAATAAGCAAATGAAACAGAAGACTGAATTTCATTTCCCCTTCTTCCCCCAACCTCTCAAGGAACTGCTGGGCACCGTATCTTACATTAAATGTAATCCGAGAGGCATATAATGCCTATAAATTCAAGGATCGCTTCCTATAACAGAGGGGAAAACATGATGCCATACGGAAGAAAATTTAGCAAGTATGCGAGAGAATTGTTTTGCAAACTCCTTCTGTCATTCAGTTGATACCGTGAAGAAGCAGCATCTGTGCTCCTGAACAGGGAGGTTGTGATGCCAGGAGGAGGAATCTCAGCTAACAGGAACAGAAAATCCTGGAGCCAAACCTGTCCTGTGTCCCTAGCCTAGGCCCTTCAGTTCAGGGGTATGGCTCTGTGATGCGCAGTGCCTTCGCTTAGCGGCGTCAGTCCAACCTCAGCCTCATATTCTCATGATAAGCATTGTCATAGTTGTCTAAAATCACTTATCTAACAAAATAGACAAGTGATTTTTTTTATTGGTTTTTTTTTGGTAAGTCGGGAGACTGGACAGGAATTGCTGGTCACGAAGCTTTTGTTCTGAAATCTGCTTGCCTGCTGTTTGGTTTATCAGATAAAATGGGCATTGTTTTTTTTTTTGGTAAGTTGGGAGACTGAACAGGAATCGCTGGTCATGAAGCTTTTGTTCTGAAATCTGCTTGTCTGCTGTTTGGTTTATCAGATAAAATGGGCTGATACACACGTGGCTATTACCTTTTCTACATTTACTAAAGATACAGATTTTAAAATCCAAGGAATAGGCATTATTCAGGCAATGGTAACGCAAGCCTTGACAAGACAGTGCATTATCTTATTGCTGAATAATTTTAATTCACATCTTCAAACTGTAATAATAGTGAACATAGCACTTGGCAGATTTAGCACGTTAATACTTCACTTCCTTGGTGATAGAAAGGTGCCTCATTCTGGACAGGTTATAATTACTCTTCCTTCAGTTAAAATTCCGCTTGTCTCTATGCTTTAATGTGAGGAAATAGCTGGGGACTTTCACTGTGGTTCGCGACTTTCACCTTTACTGGTTGGCTGTTAAACGGTGAAAACGGTCAAGAGAAGCCTATAACATGCTGATTTAAGCGGCTACTGCCTCCCGTTCTTCAGACTAGTTTGCGAAGATGAAGTATGAGCATGAGCTGAGCTTGGGGTTTACCTAGGCTTGGAAAAAGCTAGCTAGCTTTTGTGAGAATGTGTTTAGTCAAAGTATAAGTTCGTTACTGGAGGTTTCTTTGGTTTTGTTGGGAGGGTGAGGCCAGTTGGAGCACAGTTGGTAGCACAGATTCATAATGCAGCCCTTGTGATGGGAGGGAAGCCAGGAACTAGCCGAGCAAGAAAAAGAAATGGAGCTTCAGCTGCGTTGTATGTATTTGTGTCTAGGGAAGTCTCAGCCCCGCTTTTTATTCCCTTCGCGTTCCATAGCAACTGTGCCATGCTGATGGGGAAACAGCCAAGGAGCAGTTTTGATGGCCACTAGGATTTTAGGTCGATTTAAATGTGTTACCAGTCATTCCACTCTAGTTTTCTAGTGGTGAGAAAGTGGTGAGAAACGGTAGTGAAAATGTTTTGGAGCCATAATATGGACAGGGCCTAATAACTTGGAGATGAAGAACCAGCTAGCGGTAAAAGGAGTGGAGACTTGCGGTGATTTGCTAGGGGAGTCCATGGCTGGGTGAAGTCTTCCTCTGTAGTTCCCCCTTGAGATGGAGAAGCCTTGGCTTGGTGGGGTTTTGAAAGATGAAATCTCTTCCAGTGTGTTGGATGAAATATATTAATTATGGAGCAGCAGAGAAAATAATAATGTAGGATTTTAAAAGCAAACATTAATAACTATACATTGATGATTTTACCAAATTGAGTAAACATGACTCCTTCTTAATGAAGTCTAATTATAGACAGGAGAAGGAGATGTTTAGAAAACAGCTTGCTGGGGCAGAGGAAAAGGTATGTGCGCTTTTGGTGTGGTGGGTGTTGTGGCTGTTTTTTTAAAGTCTCATTTCCATGTATCATTAAGAATGGGAAGAAGCATCAAAAACTTCTGAGGAATGGAGGGAGAGAGAAATAAACGTTCCAGGCAGAGTGGGAATATGCAGCCAGGCCTTGCCTGCTGCACAGTCATCGTACCTCCAGAAGAGCCTTAACCTCCGTTAAAGCTTTCCTGCTGCCCCTTAATGCCTCCTCATCTCCTGCAAAAAATGCTGCTTTCCGAGAACGGCTATGGGCACCGATGCCTACAACACTGCACGTAAATTAAATACACGCTGTTCCTCTCGCAGGTGGGTTTGCTGAATTCTCCAGCTCTTTCCCCGGTCTCTGTGAAGGAAAATCCACGCTCGTCCCTACTTGCATTTCTCAGCCCTGCCTACCTGTCTCCAACATTGGCCCGACCAGAATCCTGCCTCATCTCTATCTCGGGTGTCAGCGGGATGTCCTCAACAAGGTGAGCGTTCTGGGTGTGCCTGTTGTTTACTTGGATGAGTATATAACTTCCGTGTGTCTTTGTCCATGCTTCTATCATACTGCATCATTACGGCTATAAAACATCTAAAGTAGATCTAGGTAATCGCCGTCTATGCATAAGCCATGGAGAGCTATGTGAGAACTAATGATATGCAGACCATAGAATTAATCCACGTGTCATGTAATATGAAACTGGGTCTTCTCTCCCCTTCATCTCACAGAATACCTTCCTCAGTAACCTATCAACCAACAGCAAACTTACCAAATCCACCATTACAGCAGGTCAGGTACATCCCTGTCCATAGCTCTTACTGGTTTGGTTTGGCAGGTCTTGGATGTTAACACAGTTATATTAATGGTTACAGTAGGACAAAGGAAGATGGTCTGGTGTTTTAGTATTTCCTTCAAGTGCTGGAAAAAATAGCACTTACATACCATGAATTGTATAACAAGGGACTGCTGCAAACAAATCCTTGTACACCTAATAAAATGCTCAGATCTGGATAATCGGTGAGGTCATTTAAAATGGGCTTTTATGGTAGCACTGCACTAAGAAACTTTTAGTGTTTCTAAATACATGCTCATTTTAATAATTTCTGTTCCTAAAGAATAGCCCAGGACATTTTGATATACTTAAAATAGCCAGCAAAGTCATAAAATGTAGCACTTGTAGGGTGCTGGACTATCAGATGTCTTAAGAGAGCTTGTCTCAGACTGCTACAGGTCTCTATTCCTATGTATATCCACAGATGTTTGCCTCCACGAGGAGACCAACTCATATTGCTTACAGTCTGTGTCTTGGGTCCCTTCACAAGGGAATTTTTATAATTTCTGCTGCATGTGCTCTCTTGGCTCCCATATTATCTGACAGTCCTGTTCGTTAGTTCAATCTCCAGCAGCCTTCATCAGCTGGCATTAAATACATGGATGGGGGAGAGGGGAGGCGCGCTTCACCCTAGCGTATTGCCTTCTTGTGTGCAAGGCTTATGTGTATGCTTTTTATCCATGTATAAAGCTTACAACAGGCACTATCCTAATAGCCCTGTAATTGGATCAAATTCATGTATTTTGACCATTATCATATTTTTCACCAGTTTCTTCTACTTTCATGCCATCCCAGTCTGGCCATTAATAGGCTTTAGAGTAACAGGTTTTAGATCTCTCACCATTGTTTTAAGGGGATTTTTGACACACAAGCAATCACATAGAAGGTAATTGTGCTTTAACAGAGCCCACAGAAAAATCTTTTATACGGAGGATAGTCAGCAGTCATTGTATTTACTTTGTCCTTTAAAGTCTTCTGTGCCTTTGCTGCCAGGTAGCAAGTCAGCAATTCAAACGTGATTTACTTATGATGGATGTCAAAGCAGCTTATTACTTTTCCTACCATACAAGTAATTTGTGGTCCCCAGAGGAAAGCCAGCAGGAACTAAGTAATTAAAAAAAAAAAAAAGGTCCTTGCTTTCAATGGTAGAGTATTAGAAAGCTGGTTTTTTTCAATGTGTGAATGGCAAGTGCTATCCTAGGTCACAGTGGGAGTGAGGGGGCAACTTGTTCTCCTCATTCTTCTCCAGGGCCAGGGATGTGCTGCTTCGTTTGGGATGTGGCTGGAACTCTGGTGCTGTGTCTCTTAAGTGGTGAATAATGCCAGAGGGGTGAAAGAGGCTGTTCCCTTTCCTTGCCAGAAATTGGTGCCTGTGGACAGGTATTGGGCACAGGCACAGCATGTGTGCCTCACCAGGAAAGGAATCCAAGTGGTAGCGGCGGTCAGGAGTTTCATTATAGGGCTGGAGGAGGCTAAAACCACAACTGCTCCTGGTGAGCCTCGAGTGTGGCAGAGCCGGCTACAGGAAGAGTTTAGAGCTGGTGGTGGGTCTCTTGGCTGTTAACCTACAGTCTGGGTATTATTTCGGCATGCATTGAAGGAAGCCCTGCAGCTGCAGATACTTTAGAATTAATGTAAGACCCCCAGGAGCTGGTCAGATTTGTGCTTCCTCGCGTATTCTTAGAAGTTACTATCAAGGATTACTGTTTCCTGTTTTGTATGGAGAACCACAAAAACGACAGCATACAGTCCACAGAAAGTTCACTAAGTTCTTACTGCTTGGTGTCATCCTTGACGGCCAATCTTTTGGAAGTTCTTCCACTGACAACTAAAATACCTCTTAGATTTCTTACCCACTTCAGGACAAAGACACATCTTATGATTTCAGATCTATTTGTTGTTTTGTACCTTTTTCCTCTTTGAACAAACGCAAGGCAGTGCTTTATTCTGAGCACGTCACTTGTTTACTGAACTGAAGTCGACCTTAGTGTTGGTGGCTTACCCTGCCTCTTCAGTTTCAGTGACTGCCTGTGGAAAATCCAAAATATCTTTTAACATTGGTACCTTTATTAACCTAAAGAAGGTATGGGAACAAACGATTTCTACCTCTTAGAAGCCTGGATCCTACGGAGGGGTATGGGCGAAAAGCAAGGAGGATGACTCTTACTACGCTGAGTGCCCAGAAATACCAACACGTGGTAAGAAAGCTGGGAAGTGAAGAACGTTCAAAAGGGGAGGGCAAGAAACAAAACACAGGGATAAGTAGCAAAGTTCTGTCTCTGTTAGGAAAGTCCAGGAGCTGGTGAGTGGTTAAGTTTCATGCTCTGGTTTAATGGCCTTGCTGGGGACAAGAAGTCAGCTTTCTATTAAGATTAGAATAGGGTTTTTTTTATTCAAGTCCAGATTTTTTAAAAATAATTTTCTGAAAAATTCTAGGAAGATTCCCAAAACTCTTAAGATGTAGTTGTATACATTGACCTTATTTTTGCCTTCAAATGCTGTTGGTGAGTTCCCATGATTCCTTCCATTGACCAGACATATCAATTTCTCTAAAATTTAAAATGTCTCAAATATCTGCAAAAAGAACGCGTAATCTGCAGTACTGTTCAACCTGACAATTTAAAGATGCGAATTTTCAGCACGTTTCATCAAGAGGGGCTTATCTTTTCAGGATCTTTATGAGCTTACCTCTGAGTGCATGGGTAGGGAAGTGCTTGTCTTGTTGCAGGACAACCTGCGTTTGTGACCTTTTGATGCTATTTGCCATTAATACCTCTGCTGATAGCGCTTTATTTACGAAACAGATGCAAACACAAATGCTTGGTTTGTGTCCTTTAGCAAAGTTAACGATTACTTCAGAAAAGTCTGAGGAGATTTTTTTTTATATTTTTGCTTTACAGATTTCTTTCCAAAAGCTTAATTCCAAAACCACTCATAATATTTTTTTGCAGTGTTGAAATACTAAAAACCTCATAAAAGGTCTTCGTAAAAATTCTAACAGAAAAGTTTGTTTCAGTTTTGGGGTGTCGGTGTGATAATACTGTGGTTCTCTGTGTGCTGTATTGGTGGCATGGCAAGAGGGTACTTACTTTTACAGATGATCTTTGTTGCTCTTTGTAAAAGAGAGGCAAACTAAATCCTTACCTACACGGGAGTGACGGTGTCCTTTCGGAAAGTCAGTGTAACAAAAAAAAAAAAATCTGTATTGTGGTTATGGGCCTGAACGAGCCTCCTACCTACATCTCACGTTTTGCACCAGCATTTCAACTGTAAAACTCTCTGTGTGCTACTTACATAACTATTCTCTTTCTTCTCTTCCAGAACTGGATTTTATTTCCTGGAACAAAATAACATGTTAGGGTGCCATTAATTTTCAGATTAAACAAGTCATAAAATGTAAATAAGCTGACAAAAGAGCATTTACCTTCTTTTCACAAAGTTGTTAGTATTAGGATTTCTGGATCTTCCTCCCATCGTAATTTACTTCTTCCTCTTGGGTGCCCGACAATGAAGGCACTGTTATGGTTATTATATCGGAGCGTGTTGCACAGGGAATGATTGATACTTTAGACCAGGAGGAAGCATAACTTTTTTCTTTAGCCTTAGTCTCGAAGACAAGCACTAACACCTTTTTGGGTGTTTTTTTGGCTCGGAGATTTCAGACTTGGCATCCGCAGCCTCCTGGTTCTCATTTGAATAATCAATTCCACATCAAGAACCTTGCGTAACTGTGGAATCGTGATGGTTGGACTGTGCGGCCCAACAGTGCTTACGCTTCAAAAAAAAATAATAAGGTTTTCTATTCTTCTTTAAATTCAACAGCCTGCCAGCACCCCTTCACTGTATTTGAAAGAAACGTGCATCGTGGCAGTCAGTTTGTGAGTGATACCTTCATCCCCTACTTCTTACAGCCCTCCTGCTTTTAAACTTCTTAGGTCTATCGGGGTAGGAGAGCTGAGTGTCGTAAAGGAGGGTGCAACGGAGTTGGCTGTGAAAGGCCTGCAGGGCTGAAGGGGGCTTGCTGGTTGAACTGGGGAGATGTGAAGGAAAGGAGAGAGGGGGAACCCAGCGATATATTGGCATTTGTTGTCATTGATGAGGAGCTGAGCTTTACTGGGAGTGGGACCTAGGAAGCCGGCAGGGTCAGAAGCAGTAAGGCTGAGAACTTACTTTAACACATCCAGCCCTTTTTTTTTTTCTTTCTTTCTGTCTTTTTTTGACTATTGCTGCAAATTATATTTTTGCTGATTTGCTTTGCACATAATTGGTTAATCATGATAATAATAATCTCCTCTTCCCCTTGGATGGCTATGTTTATGATCTGTTGTATGTTCATTAGTTGAAGGTGCCCACACCTTCAGGTACCTCTGCATGTGCTGATGTGAGGGGACTTTGGGTGAGAGTTTGGAGGAGCTGCTCATTTTGCTCCAGGCAACAAAATTCAGCTCGCTAGCAGAAATTCCTGTAAATTCCTTGTTTGCAGCCGTCACTGGCTGGACTTCATGCCCTTTCCTCTACAAATGACGGATGTAGCGTCCCTTCTCCCCTGCAGTCCTTTGTTCTCACTGAACATTTAATTTATGCATGCGTATACCTCTGTGCGTGTCTTCATCCCTTCTACATCCACCCCGTACCAGGCGCGTGGTGTGCCTGCGTACTCCACATCACGTATTATTTAGACTGCTCTGATTTGAACAAGGTAGAGTTCTGACTCTTCAGCTAAATAGCCATATCCCTGTTTCTCCTCACCAAAACATCTTTATGCTTGCAGAAAAAATACATACGGGGAAGAAGCGGCCATTTGGCTTCATGACTGTATTTTCACACTGGTAGATCTCCAGTTGAAATCTGCTGTGTAAGAATTCATTCTTGCTACTGCTCCCATGGATTGACATAACTTTTCTTTTTTATATAATTGCTATAAAAGCAAAAGGATTAAAATCAGATTGTTTTTGGCTTTTTTTTATGTTTCAGTTTAGTTTCAGACATTATTTTCCATAGAAATCTGGCCAAAAGCTCCCCAGTGTTTGTATTCCGTGTTAACTGCTGTCCAAGCACAGTATTGCTTGTCACCTACTGCCAAGTCGTATCTGAACCAGAAAAGCTGTTTGATCAGTATTACCCCAACCTGCTTAATTGCTTTTCTGTGTCAAGATGCTTACTTGCAGGAAACTGAATGGTTTTGGTAGATCCATCCCTAGTTTTCTAGTACTTGTTTCGCATGTTTTGGCACTAAGGTACCATCTACTGCATCAGATACTGCTTGGCACAACTCTAAATATAAAGAGTATGGTAAGGTGCAGAAAAGAGGAGTCTTTTTATTTGCAGTCATGAAAATTGACTTATTTAAAAAGCCCCGTTGATTCTTACATGTTTAGTCTCTTTGCTTGTTCCTGTGACAATCTCTGAGATGCGAGAGGACTAAAGACTGAGAACTGCAATATCTGAGCAACTAAAAGGTAATCCAGAAAGCGGAACTCCTATAAAACTGCAGTTAGTGCTGCGTGAAAATGGTCTAATTCAAGGGCCTCAGCTTTTTCTCTCCAGGTTTTGGGTGAGTTTTGCACATTGCCTTAAAACAAGGAAGTCTTGGACCCTCTAAGAGGTGACTGCAGGAGGCATCTGTTTCATTTCATATTTCTTACCCATAGCTGTGATGAGGCAACCTCAGTCTTAGATACGTGATCGAGAAAACACGTATTCGGGTCAGCGAACTACACGTGGGAAGTGTTTGCTTATGTTGTCAGCTTGCACCATGAGAATTTCAACCCAAGTAGCAAAAAATTCATTCTTTTGGAAGTGATGATTCATAGTAGCAGAAAGTATCCTACCCTTATTTCTGTTCTTTGTTAACTTTGTTTTTATGGGCTTTGCAGTCCATATGTTATTTGGACACTCTGGATGTCTCATTAAAAGTTGTTTGAAGAATTAAAAGCTGAGTCATTGTCTTTTTCACAAATGAATGCCCCTAATACAGCTAGAGCAATCGCAACACAAATTTCAGTTTGGTTTTTAGCTTTGTAATGTGCCAAAGGTACCATTTGACTTCTCTAGGCTTAATCTTTCTTTCCTAGGAGCTGATGCAGCAGAATGATATTGGCTACGTACTGAACGCCAGCAATACTTGTCCAAAGCCTGATTTTATTCCGGAATCCCATTTCCTGAGAGTGCCTGTGAATGACAGCTTTTGTGAGAAAATTTTGCCTTGGTTGGATAAATCAGTCGATTTTATAGGTGAGAAGAAAATTTAAATTCTCTCTAACAGTTTCTGGATTCCTTTGTGTGTTTGCCTTGCTGTTTTGGCTGGAGAAGACCTGGATGCTTTCTGAGTGGTGTGAAAGTCCCCTAAGGATCTACGGACATGATCACCATCACTCACTTTATAAGCACAGAAGCAAAATAAAGGGCAGATTCTGCCGCTGCATGTTCCAGCACTTACAGAACAAAGACACTTTTTAAGAGCACAACTCCTGCTTTCTGGCAGCCTGGCAGATGCCCGATATATGTCTGCAGAGAGCAAATTAGAAAAATTGGAGATCCGGATCCTGTCTTTAGCTTTGAGAAGTAAGCTAGCCAAATTTGAACTGGCCAAATTGTTCCATCACAAATGCTTCCTTTTTACTTGCATATAAAATTAGAAACAATCACCTTTGCCAGACACCTAAATAGGGTTGTTTATGTGCACATTAAAATGCGGTACGCTGTAACTGCGGTATGTTTCCTGTGTGTAGTCACATGCTTTTTCTATACTCAATGCTGTACAGTGCCAGAGAAAATAAGTGATTTTTGTTTAAAGCTTCCATGAGATTTGCAATTAGCAGTTAATTGGGAAGTTTTGAACAATTTTAAATAACAGTCCTTTCTGTGCAAACTTTTCATCGTGGTATAATGCTGCTGAGTTTGACACTTGCCACTTTCTTTGCTATGTAGAAAAAGCAAAAGCATCAAATGGCCGCGTGTTAGTGCACTGTTTAGCTGGAATATCTCGCTCTGCCACAATCGCTATTGCATATATCATGAAGAGAATGGATATGTCCTTAGATGAAGCTTACAGGTAAGAAGACAATTTCCCTTCCTACTAATTCTGGTGCCTGTTGGCTTGTTTTTAAGGTGAATGATATAAAAGGTTGTATGACCAAGGGTAGAAGGAGGCGTGTTATTTTATCTGGTAGTTCACTGGCTTCTGCACACTTTTGTTTTAGATGTAGACTTCCTCCGTAAACAAAGAAATGGTGGTGTGTAGACGTCACACAGCTAACATTAATTGCCTGCCTGCAAAATGCTGATGTTTGTCTTTGCTCCAAGTACGCAAATACATGGAATTCAAACCGCTTATTAAATGTGCGTGTACGTACAGCCATACAGCCAGCTATAGCACGCATATAACAACATCTTGTAAGTCAGAGAATGGAATGGATAGGGTTAAGGAAAGAGAACTGAGGATATTTATAATCACGCTTCTGACAAATGCTAGGCTGGCTCTGTTGACTGCAGGTTGGTATTCGGTAATGCTCTCAGAGAACTGCCTGCAGGTAAAATGTCTCGGAATTAAGCAAGCTGCTTTGTTGCTGTTAAAGTCAACCAAAAACTCTGGGAGAAGGTATTTTGAAGTATCAGCCCTTCGTGGCATTAGGGAATTTTTGTGGAGACCCCCTTCCTTTCCCCCCCTTTTTAACCGTTCAAATCCCATTTTTTCTATACTTGGGCTTGTGAACCCTTCCCTACATTCCAGGTGGCTTGGTTGCAGTTGTACCGTGACTTCTGTATTTCGTTGTGCTGTACAGAAAAGGATGGTTTTTCTTTTTGATGGGCTCTGTAGGCTAACGGCACAGCTGACGCATCACGGTAACGTGCGTTGTGCAGAAGCAATGTGAACAATTGTGCTGGAGCGGGAGGAGAGGCACACCTTCAAAATCACTACTGTGTTTGCTACCGCCATCTCTAAAACACCGATGAGGACAGAAAGATGAACATTTGATACTCCCTTGTGGAGTGGGATTTCCATAGGGCGCTTGCTTTTCTTTTAGGCTGATGAACGTAATAATGTATGCAGTGAAAAAAGTGCACATCAGAGGTGCCTGAAGTACAACCCTCTCCTGTTGCCTTTAGAAATTTTCCACGATTTCTTACTAGAGCCTGCTGCCAGTTTGGTGTTGTGTGGTAATTTCAACCAAACCTGTTTCACCATACACGTTAAGAGGTATAGCTGGAAGCTCCTGACCGTTAGAGAGGTATAGCTAATACGGATGACTTGGTGGATGGGGATGGGTACTGGGTGAGGTATGTGCCCGCATCCCTGAAAGAACCTGTCTGGTCTCAGGCTGTAGCGGTCTGGAGGTTGGAGCTGTCGAGGACTAAACACTTCTAAAATGCACGTGCTTCGGAGAACTTCTGGAGTGCTGCTACTAAATTACCCCATGAAATCTCTGCATTAAATTCCAGTTTGTTTCTTAACTGGAAGTGTGACTTGCGTGTGAAGGATTAATCATCCTAGGGCTTTTTCTCATTCCACTGTAGATACTGAACAACTACTGTGAAACTTAGATTACATTTTGCTCTCTTTCCTTTGATATGGCTTAGTGAGAGCCGTCTGCAGCACGTCAGCCATTGGTTTGGGATCTCTTGTTGGCAAAGCTTGAAAGAAACATACTTTTCTCTGAGTTAAAGAACGTCATTAGGTAAAATGTTTGTCTGACACTATTACTAAAATAAAAAGGTGACAGTGTTACTTAAGTGAAAGGTCTGAGGAAATAAGCGTTTTTAATCTTTCCTTTTCTATAATGGACTATACAGGTGTTGTGGTTTAACCCCAGATGGCAACTAAGCCTCATCCAGTGGGATGGGGGAGAGAATCGGAAAAGTGAGAAAACTCCTGGGTTGAGATAAAGGCAGTTTAATAGGTAAAGCAAAAGCCACACACGCAAAGCAAACCAAGGAATTGATTCAGCCCTCCCCATGGGCAGGCAGATGTTCGGCCATCTCCAGGAAAGCAGGGCTCCATCTTGCGTAACGGTGACTTGGGAAGACAAATGCCATCACTCCCAACGTCGCCCCTTCTTCCTCCAGCTGTATGTGTTGAACATGATGTCATACGGTATGGGATATCCCAGGGGTCATCGGGGTCAGCTGTCCCGGCTGTGTCCCCTCCCAGCTCCTTGTGCCCCCCCACCTCCTCGCTGGTGGGGTGGGCTGAGAGGCAGAAGAGGCCTTGGCTCTGGGTAAGCCCTGCTCGGCAGTGACTAAAACATCCCTGGGTTAGCAGCACTGTTTCCAGCACAAACCCAAAACGTAACCCCCTACTAGCCACTGGGAAGACATTTGAGACTACCCCAGCCAAACCCAGCACAAGAAGGGAAATAAACATCAAAATTAAATGTTATTGCATGTTTTCCAGTAGGAAAAAAAGAGTGTGCATTCTGAAATGAACAGCTTTGCAAAGCCTTAAAACTTCTCGGGGGATCCAGCAGACTTTCTTTTACCCTTCTTGTTTTTTAGAAAGCTAGTTTTAAATTTAGGAGTGCCCAATATTTTGGAGTAAGATGAGGAGAAAGTGGAAGAAAGAGAGTTTTGGAGAGGCTGCTAGAACACAGGCCAGAAACTGCAATGTTTGTTGTTTGGCAACTTAAAAGAACATAATTTTAAAAATGCAAGTTTTGTTTGATATTTCTCATGTGCTTGCCTGCATTTGTGCTAGTGTATACACAAGTACACCTTTGAATTCTTCTCATGCTGTTTTTAATGACTGCATGCTCACCTTCTGTACACATTGCCAGAGAGATTTTGGTTTTAATAATATTTAATTTTCCCAGTGATAGATTATATGTGTGTTTGTACTAGATTTAGCTCTTCAAGGTTTCTTCCCTTGTCAATTCCCTTGACATCTGGTTCATCATAGTTCCAGGAATGTTTTTTTTTAAAAAAAAAAAAGGCAAACAAAAAAAACCCCCACAACACAAAAACAAGACGAGGAAGGATTGGGGCAGCTTTCTGTTTTACAGTCTGTAAAAAGCAGAGTGTACTTATTTACTTATATTGCAAATCAGAACGGTAGGAAATATGCTTTTGTAATTAACTTTAACGTTTCTAATCCTTAAGTCTTTCGTACATTTAGAGTCCTGGTTCAGGAAAACGTTTTAAGTATGCATTGCACCTTCTCCATATTCAGCCGAGTACGTAAGTGCATGCGTAGATTGTCACGCGTAGGTGAGTCAGGCTGCTTCCTACAGGACTCGAAAACAGGTTAACGCTGCCAGTGATTTGGTCATACTGGTGCCCTTTACGGGGCTCGAGAGAACGTGTTCGGTTTAATGCTGCATTTCCTCCTTTCTGTTTTTCTTTTTGATTATTCTATCAGTGGGCAATACCCACATATGGTAGAAGTCGCTGGCATTTGCTGTATAAGGTCAGCCTATATCAGAGCTCCTTTATCTTGCCTGCCAAAGATAAAACAGGGTAGGAAGCACTCACCGTAGTAACAGCAGCTTGAGAGCGGTGAAAGGACCATGGGATTTCATCCCTTTGAGTGGCGGGGAAGGTGCTCCGCTCTCTGCGGCGCAGGGGAGGCCAAGGTCTCTCGGCAAGAGCTCTGATGCTGTTCCTGCAGAACCTGAGGAGCTCTTAGCGCTGGTCAGAAACCGAGGTAGCCGAGATTCCACTGGTGAAGTAAAATAAGGAAAATGATTCACTCAAACCTCGTTGTGGACATCATAAAGAGGTAAAATAAAAAGCTCTCTTTTCCCCTTTTTAGCCACCTTTAGGTAAGCTATGGAGAGAATTGAGAGCATCCAGCATTATCTTGCTTAAAAGCTGCCTTTTTTTTTTTTTTAACTCCATCCTCAAGTTACTTCTGCTTGACTGAACCTCAGTCCAGTCATCCCGATAAGTTAAGAACAGGCTGGCAGCATTCACAACGATTGCTGGAGGGTTATCTGCCACCTGAGCAGCAGGTCCTTAAACTAACTCTTGCTTTGTTTGTCCCCTCTTTCCAGATTTGTGAAAGAAAAAAGGCCAACCATTTCCCCCAACTTCAACTTTCTGGGCCAGCTTTTGGACTTTGAGAAAAAGATCAAGAACCAGAGCGGTCAACCTGCACATATCAGTAAGCTGAAACTTCTGCATTTGGAAAAAAGCAGCGAGCACGTGCTGGTCCCAGAAGGTGGGCAGAGCAGCCTCTCCGCTAACCAGCTCTGCATTACCGCTACCTCCGAGATCGTGGAGCAGAAGCCGACGGACTGCGGCAGCGTGCCACACGGGCACTTGTCCCCGCTGGAAGATGGCCCGCTGGTACAGGGCATAAATGGACTGCACGTCTCCCTGGATAAGGTGGAAGACAGCAACCGGCTGAAGCGCTCTTTTTCTTTGGATATTAAATCTGTCTCCTACTCGGCAAGTAGCAACTGTGTGACTGCTTCGGTGCAGGGCTTCGCCTCCTCCGAAGACACCCTGGAATACTACAAACACGCAACTGCTTTAGAGGGGAGCAGCAAGTTGTGTCAGTTCTCCCCTGTCCAGGAGGTCTCGGAGCAGACCCCAGAAACCAGCCCTGACAAAGAGGAGGCAAACCCACCCAAGAAACCCCAGAACCCCTGGCAGCTGGAGAGCCAGAGCAAACGGCAGCACCTGGGGAGAGCCAGCGGCAGTGCCACCGCTCAGCGGTCGCTCCTGTACCCCCTCCACCGGAGCGGCAGCATGGAAGACAACTACCGAACGAACTTCTTGTTTGGTCTCTCCACCAGCCAGCAGCATTTGGCGAAGTCTGCTGCTGGGCTGGGCCTCAAAGGCTGGCACTCGGACATCTTAGCTCCTCAGACATCGGCTACGTCCCTTACCAACAGCTGGTATTTTGCAACCGAGTCCTCGCATTTCTACTCTGCCTCCACCATCTACGGGAACAGCGCTGCTTACTCTGCCTACAGCTGTAGCCAGCTGCCCACGGGCTGCGACCAAGCCTGTGCTGTGCGCAGGAGGGCAAAGCAGGGCGATCGAGGTGACTCCAGGCGGAGCTGGCACGAGGAAAGCTCTTTCGAAAAGCAGTTTAAACGCAGAAGCTGCCAGATGGAGTTTGGGGAGAGCATCATGTCGGACAACAGATCCAGAGAAGAACTGGGGAAAGTAGGCAGTCAGTCGAGCTTTTCAGGCAGCATGGAAATCATTGAAGTGTCTTGAGGGGCAGCAGGCTTCTGTGACTGTATCGGAGTTGCTTCCCCCCTCCGGGCCGCTCCCCCAGTGTTTGAGAGGTCCCTGTAAATCTGAAAAGAACAAAAACTTTGTGCAAAAAGGGGGGGAGGGAAGAAACGCGAGGCTTCGGTGTGAATGCAGCGACTAGATTAGTACGGCAAAGAAATGACAAGCGAGCATCTGCCCGAGGAGACCCAAGCGTACCGCTGGGTTTTTCTCCTCCCCTTTCCTAGAGCAGGGCAGAACATCTCAAACATCTTTCCCTGACAGAAGAAACAATTATATGCAATGGATTGCACAGCCTTTCAGTGGTTTTTTTGAAAAGGAAGCTCTCTTGGTATCAAACCCTTTCTCTGGTTCCACTGAAACACGCTCCTACCCCTCAAAACTAGTTTTGTTTTCCCCTCCTCATGTCTTCACCAGTGCACCTTAGCCCTGACACTGAGCCAACCTCTGGAGGGAAACCTTTTTCCCTGTAAGAAAGGAGACCGGGAGCGATTCCAAAGGACGTAGGGAATGGTTACAGCAAGGCTGGTCTGAACGCACGCTTCAGACAAATGTAAATACCGGTGTAACTATTGTTCCAAGGGATAGGCTTTAGGTGATTTGCTAGAGAGCTGCTTCAGAGAAAAAAAAACAAAAAAAACCAAACAACAAACCAGTACCTCAAAAATATAAAAAATAAACTAGGGCTTTACGGCTGCCAGATGCTGGTAGTCAGTTCATAAGCAATGTGAACAAATAATGACTAGCCACATTTGATTTTTTTTTTAAAATAATTTTTTTTTTAAAGCTGTCTACGCACAAGTGTTTCAGTTGGCTCAGCAGCAATTCTTAAAAAAAAAAAACCCATGAATGAACCATACTTATGACTGTTTCCCCCAATCTTTTGAAACATAAAATAAGCAGTATTTGTATTTTTGATATTAAGCTGGCTTCTGGGAGAGGGGTAACTGCTTTGGCTTCCAAGGTATAACGGAGTGGTTAATACTTAGGGTTACGTGCAAGAGAAGCGGCTGGTACAGTACGGCAACATCCTTTTCTTGCCAATTGACAATTCAGTAGATGGCTTTTTTTAGTTCTGGGTTTTTTAAAGCTAAAAATGAGCTGGGATGGGCTTTTGTCCTTACCAGAGCGGTACCGTTAAGGACCACCTGCTCTTCATATATGGTTCCAGTCATGTGTGGGTTGGGGACAATTCAGGTGGTGGTGTGGGGTTTTTTTTTTTTTCATCCCAACATGGCTGGGGACTTGGGAGACAGACACTTCTCATCAGTTCTGCTGACTTCATCTGAGAAAGAGCAGTCTGGGTGGCTGGCCAAGGAGAAGAGAAGGGGACCTCCAGCCTCCCATCTCACAGCCTGGCGTGAAAGGAAAAGGGGGTTTAAGAAAAGACAGCTTTAAGGGGAAGCCTGCTCACCTCCCGCCCTCGCAGCTCCAAAGGAACTCGATCCTGGCCCTTGTCCTCTGTCCCAGCACAGGTTCTTGGCTTCCCAGCAGTTGGGCTGCAGACGCTTCTAGCTGGGCTACTGCCGGTGTCCTTCCCCTCAGCAACCCCGGGAACGCGCCAGCGCAAGGAGGTGTCACGTCCCCGCTGCCAGCCGGGGTGTTTCATGGCAGATTAGGGCCCGCCCTTTTTTTTTAAAAGGGGGGGCAGCAAAGCAGCTGCCACCCCTCCAGCTCGCTGTCCGTGCCCTACAAATTGTTGTATGTGTGCTGCAAGAGGCTTACGGTACCAGTGGTACCAGAGGCACAACGTAAAGGTCCGACGGGAGCTGCGCACCTGTTAGCTCGGACCCCTCACAACATGTGTATCGGGGGGGAAACTACACGATTTTGTCCCATTTCAGTGCAGGCAGCTGGAAATTGTGAATCATGTGTAACAAATACTTACCCCGGCCAACAGCTTTAAAAAAAAATTTGTCAGCGGCAAACTGAAGCCCTAATTCAAGTCAGCAGCTTGGGTTATGTTTGGGGTTTTTTTACTGTAAGTTTAGCTAGTTTGTGACTCAAATCTCAGGTTTTACTATATTGAAAAGCAGAGAAGATTTTGTCATTGTTTTGTTTCGGGGCTAGGATGTGACTTTAATTTCCTACAGCAGACTGTTGAAAATAGCACTGAAAGCTACAGCGTTGATTTAACTTGATCCTAAAAAACGTGCCAAAGGCACAGGGAGACAGCACCAGGAGTCACTGAACCGGGAGGCTGTGTTCGTGCGGTGCGGACGAGATGCTGGGAGAAGGGGTAAGGCCGGGCGAGGGAGAGGTTGACACCACGGTGGAAAGCAGCGCAGGCCTCGGCTGCTCATTAAACCACTTGCCTGTGTTTACGTATCAAGTGAAAGCGATTACATTACAACTATTTTCAGCCTATATACACACTCTGGGTGTGGATATACCTATATAAACGGTTTATAGTGCTCCTCTCAGCCAGATTTCCGTAAAAGCCCGTGTCTTTGATTTAAATCAGTTAATGGGGGTTAACACAAATCCATCCCTAGAGGGAGAAACAGAACCTTCCTGTCTTTTGTGCTCCTTCACACGTGCGTGCTCTCTCCCCTTCTCTCTGTACGTACAAATACATACCGTTGGGGTTTTTGTTTGGTTAATCACCTTCTGAGGAACCGAAATTGTGATTTCCAATACGCTACAGTCCCTGAATGAATCAAAGCTGTAGGCTCACTATTTTTAGAGGACGGGTTCCTGTAGGAGGAAGCCTTAACCCCATGTCCTGCACAGGGTGGTGTGGTGTCTCCTATCCGAACTAGCGGGTCCTGTACCCAAACGATGCTGGAAACGGTTTGTAGAAGTTTGGAAAGCAAAGCGGAGGATGCGAGGGGGGAGACGTGTACATGTTCCATATGAATATAGTGTTCTTTGGTGTATGGCAAGCTGTTTAAATGGTTCAGAGAGATGTGAGTTTCTCATCTTGTTGTGTCATGAGCATTACCTGTATGTTATGATGAAATAAAATTGGAAATGGTACCTGTTTATATAGAACGGCTGAGAAAGGAGCCTGTGTGCCTCTGGCTGTGGAGCGCGCGGTACCTGCCTGCAGCAGGACCTGCTCCCCAGCACCCGGACTGGCAGGGGGCTCGTCCTTACCGTGCGGATCCTTCCCGGCGGCTGCGTGCCTGTTAACAACGACACATGTTGGGTGGCTTTGGACCACTTCTCACAATCGGCGGTAATTTTACAGCACCGGTAACAGTTTAGGCCTCTTACCTGTTCCTGTTTACCCCACCTTCTTCTGCTCCTTTGAACAGCACCAGTGGCACTTCTCTCTCTTACAACGTCTGATACTCTTGTGAGTAAACTGTTCCCAAGGCAGCAGCGCTAGTCTTTCTGAAGCAAGTATTTCAAATTCATTAAGCTACCAAGAATGAACCCCATGGGTTTTCTTCTTGCCTCCCATACTTCTTATTTGAAGAAGAATGTAATTACTTGTTTAAATACTTGTTTTGACTGATTCTGCCAGCCCTGAAGCATTCAGAGTGACTTCTGATTGCTGAGGGAGGGGCACACCCCTCATCGCTCCTTCAGAGAACAGCTTATACAAACGTAGCATATATCCAAATTAAATCCTGTAGTAGAATACGGCTGCTATGGTTATATCCTTAGATGGCCAAGCCTGCAACTTTGTAACGGCATCTTCAAGTTCAGAGGTGGTAACAGAAGTTTTGTGTTGGTTTGGTTTGGTTGGTTGTTTTTTTTTAAGAGAATTTCAAAGCACAATTCCAGAAAGGGAAATGCAGAATCTTTGGCCTCTCTACAGGAGATGGTGCCATCAGCCAGAGCACAATTAACCACCTGTGTGACCCCGCTGTGCTTACTCTCTACAAACAAGCTGTCCCAGCCCTTACATAGAAAGCTTGCATCCCTCGCACGGTAGAACAAGAACCATGTACCATACTAGACCCAGATGGCATCAGCTTGTTAGCCTACCAATAGGCTGACTTGACAATCTGCTAAGATGTACCTGCTCGGGCTTCCATCATCCTGATCCCGGGAGGTCGGACTAGCTCTGTTCCCTCAAGTTCTGTTTTTTGAAGGATGCACTTGAGCATTCACCACTCCTCCTCCTGCCTGCTTTGCAGGACTTGCTCGGCTCTTGTTGCCTCCATCCCTCCGCTCTTGCCCCTGCCAGCAGACAGCTCTCTGAAGAGACAGCCCGCCTAACTCCAGCTCCAGTCAAAACCCAAGCGGCAACCAAAGCGTGCCTCATGCAGGTCATCAACGTGTCATTGTCATTTCATTGACCGGCATAACTGGGGAGAGGTCCCTAGGCTGTTGCTGTAACCATCACAGTTACACTCCTCGAGTGAAGTGGACTGAAAACAGGATGAGGTAGCCCTACTTCGGAGGGGGGAGAGAGAGAGGAGCAATGTGGTAATGATGTGAGCTGCTGGTTTTACTACCTGTATGTTCATCAGCTAGCTGCTCATTACGCTTTGACTCGCAGCACAAGTTATAAATTGATTTCTACCAGAAAATGGTGGTAGCAAAAACCCAGAGTAGTGGCCTGGCGCCTCTGGGGACAGCACCGGTGCCCTGAGGCTCTTACTGCCTCTTTTTAAATCGGAAATTACGGAGATTCAGCCAAACTCACCTACCTAGACACTTTAATTAGCCACACCCTGACTAACCAAGGACCAACCTAGCAAGCCTGTTACTTGTTCTTAAAGTTTCTGAGATAAAAGGAGAGTTATTCTAGTACTTTTAGGCCTTATAACATTGTAATACAATAGCACTATTCTGTTACACACACAAACCCAGGACTGGGAATTCAGGCAGAACGGTGTTTTATAATCTATCGGCTTAGTCTGGCAACTGCCCTTTCCCTTTCACCAGGCCTACAGAGAACTTCTTGGCCCTTGGGCCCAAGCGTATGCCCTCAGGCAACCTGAAGCGTTTCGGCAGCGAAGCCTTCGGCCCGTCTGCACTTTAAGAATATTACCGAGAGCCACTATAAATAGAAAAGGAAAGGG